TGAGCACAGAGTACTTTGTCTTCCATTTGCTTTGGTGAAAACAATAGGTTTTCTTAGCTGAGAGACAGAGGTAATTCTCTTCAAAGGTTTCTTTTTGAAGATGATTTTATCTGCTTCTGCTAGTCAGCCAGGATATCTAGTCATCATTGATAAATATTATCACAATGAAAGAATTGCCACAAGATGTGGAAAAACACACAGTTAAGTAATTCAAATCTCATCTGTGGCTCTTTTCTAAAATAGTATTAAAAATTCCTGTAATGTAAAAGTAAAATAAATATAAGATATACTTACAGCTTCTCAGGGGCAGATGAATTAGTCTGAATGCAGATAACAATATGTACAGTCCAGATAAATTAAATAAGATTACATGCATAAACGTACATACAGCTATATCCCTCAGAAAGCAATGGTAGCAAAGTTTAATAGAATTATATTGGGTTGTTGGAAAAGTCGTGACGTATTTTTTCTGTTTTTCATCGCAAAAATGCGTCATGACTTTTCCGACAGCCCAATGTAATTTTCAAATAAAGACAAGCTATGTTGCTCTCAAAAGTGTCACTATAATTTCAAGTTTATCTGTTCTTGTCTCGTGAAATTTATGGCCAGGCTGGTGAATTCTCTTGAGGGAGGTCTCCAACAGAGTCAACATCTGTGCCCTTCAAATGGCCTAGAACTTTCTGGATCTAACAAGTAGTCTGGATACTAGAATAAATCCAATAAAATGATAATAGCACACAATCAAAAGACCATTACACTGCAATTAATCTGATTTCCAATTCAATCCAACTATTTTTATGGTACTTACAACGTACCATGAACAGTGGAGAACTAGGACCTGGTTGCCCTCCTATGTGCTGAGCAAGGCAGATAAACACCTCACAAGTCAAAATAAAGCAAACGCAATGCAAGAGGTTACGTTTTAAATAAGAAAGTGGTTAATTCTAGCTGAGGCTGTAACTGAAGGCTTCCTGCAAAAAGATAAATTGGAGCTAGGCCTTAAATAATTATACTGTTTCAGCAAATGAAAATGGCGCTGAAGCGTGCCCTGGATGGCAGTTGGGTTAAAAGAAGTTGAGGAAGAAGTGACAGCAAAGGGTACAGGAGGGCATATTGATTCTGTTCGCACATCTGTTTCCTGCCCCTCTTCCTCTTGAATTCCAGACTCCATAACACTTACAGTTTCCCCTTCCCCTTGTAGGATTTTCACACAAGGTCTTCTCCTGACAAGAAAACACCCTGGTGCCCAACATTGTTCTCTCTCATCTCAACTCCTCTTTCAGATCCCTGCATAAAGCTCACTTCCTCAAAGAATTCATGCCTGAAACCTTCAACCAACTTCCCATCCCACCCCCAATTAAGTTCAATTACCTTCTTTTACACATGCACAGATAGCACCTTACGCTTTCCTACATCATTTTTTTTACAATTGTGCTACAAACTTTTAGTAAAATAATTGTTTAATGTTTTTCATAACCCATAGGCAGAATTTTCTTGAAAGGCAGCCATGTTGTCTACTGTGACGTGGAGCGGTGTCCCTGGTACTTAGTGGGCATTTAAATCGAAGTATCCAGCAGTCCCTTAGTTTTACACTGTGCAAGAATTTGGCACTTAAGTATAACTTATATATTGAAAATGTTAGAGCCTTTATGTATTGCATATATAGAAAAGAAGTCTAGAAAACTTTTAAGCATTATAAACAAATTCAAATTCTGTGTAGATTTTTCTCTCGCTATCGAAGAATCATATCTCATATAAAACAAAATTTACCACCCTGAAAACTCTGTGTTCCTAACCTGAAAACAGAAAGACATTGAATATACACATTTAGTTTATAGCTTGTCTTGCAGAAACAAAAATATGGATGCATCTTAAGGTACAAAGAAATGGAATTCAACTGACAGAATAGAAGATAAATAAATATAAAACTGCTATAGAAGAGATAAATATGCATCAGAAATGTTTCCAGTTCATTGAAAAAGAAATCGCATTATTAGTTACTCTAAAGCTGCAGCTTTATAAAGAAAAACACTTGAAGGATAAAGGAATTATTTAGATTCTAAATAATGTTCTCTCTCTCTCTCTCTCTCTCTCTCTCTCTCTCTCTCTCTCTCTCTCTCTCTCTTTCTCTCTCTCTCTCTCTCTCATTCTGTGATTTTATTAAGTCCATATGCTTGTTGACTTTAAGGTAGTTGCCACAAGTCCTCATCAATAGAACAACCAAAATTTTCCATTTCAAGCTTGGATACTCATATACTGTTTGCTATCCAACCAAGGAATGAGAGACAGCATTTTATGAGTTGAAGGCTCTCAGTAAAGGGCCTGGGATGGGGACATGTGCCTAGAACTGAGATGAGGTGTGAAGGCAGATGTCCTCCTGTTGCTCATGTTTTCAAGCTGTCTGAGAGCCATGCTTAAAGACATGAATGGCAGTAAATCCATGCCATCCTTCATGTCTATCTTGTGCCAGAAGAACATAGTCACGACATTTATTTTTCTCCCTCAGAGTAGAGAGAAGTGACACATTTAATCTAGGCGCTACCATGGGAATAGCCAAAACACATCCATACTTCCAGCCAGACATTTCTCAGTTGCAAAAAGCTGTTCAAAATATATGGCTCTGAGATTGGTATTTGTGTAGCATTTCTTATTAACATAAATAAAATATATTCTTTCCACTTGTGATAGAAAATATATTTTGGCTTTTTAGAAACTTTCTTTTAAAGAAAATGTGCCATTCCTTACCCAGAAAGGCACACCTTAAGAGAATATAAGCTTGGAATCATTGTCTTCTTTCTATAAAGATGATGAATTTACATTTCGAAACCCCAAATCATAAGCCCTAAAAAATTTCAGTATGAAGCTGTCACTTAATAAAAATAATATCAGTAACTAATATAGAACTTGTTTCTTTTTAATTTTTCTGTTTTATTTTACTGTGGACTAACACTGAAAATAATATTTAAAAAATAATCTAGACTCTTCACATAGAAAGGAGTGCATTCATACAAGGAATACTGTTCAAAGTCACAATTACATTTTATCTCATAGGTTACTATGCAGTGGTGTTTTTTTGCCAATAACCAGGATGCATTAAAATGAAAGGGTTTGGTAAAGACAAATTATATCGTATGTAGGGCAGGAAAAAAATGAGGCTAATGGGGATGATGGCTCACAGCCAGAGGGAACAAAAAGGAAAGCCTGAGGTAGAAAAAAAGAGAGTAAGATAGCTCGAGGATGGTGAAGATAGGGAATAAAAAGTGCTTCTTCTTGAATTCCTTGGTTACAATTCCTGAGTGAAACACTTTACACGCTGTTATTTCTTAATAATCAGAAGGAAATCAATCATGAACTTTATCCGACTTGGCACAGGAGGGTGTATGTTAGACATAGCTGTTAAACATTTCTGCTGGGCTTCACCTTGTTTACTGAGGGTAAGAACTAAACCAGGGTGTCTTGAGGCAGCCCGTGTCCGGGCTTGGAATATTATTTGCAATAGAAGCTTGCAATATAAATGGACAGCAGGAATTAAGTAAAAACTTTCCAAAGTTTTTTTTTGCATCGCCCTTATAAAAAAAATTGAACCCTTCTACAGTGACCCGTAGCCCTATCATAGACAGGCCTTTAAACATACCTCTCAACATGTGTCATCCTTCTCAATGCACTAGAATCCTCCTGGCCTTCTCTGTCATCCTCAAAATTAATAAGCTTGCCCCCATGATAAGTCTGCATCAATTCACTGTTTGCAGAAAGAGCTTCCCCTAGGTTCTGGCAAGGCTGTCTCCTTGTGATTCAGGCTTCTATTCATGTCATCCCTAACCACCCTGTCTCCTTGTGATTCAGGCTTCTGTTCATGTCATCCCTAACCACCCACTCTAGATGACCAACCTCCTAGAATTAGATTTTCTCCATTGTACTTTGCACTGTCTGCAATACTTTATTTATAGATGCATTTGTTCATTTTGTCTTTCCCATTCTCATAAGAATAAAAACTTCATAAACACTGAATGAATGAATAATTGATGGTACAGAATCAGAGTAACTAGGGGCACTTGATAATACCTGATGCCAAACCTTAATAACAGATTTGTTTTTCAGGGTATAAGGTTTACTCTATTCACTGGATGGCCTTTTATAGCACATACACTTGTGTAAGTTTTCCCTTAAAATAAAAATGATAATACGGAACACATTGGCTTATTAAAGAACCCACCTCACTCACCTCGCATTGTTACTGACTCTTAACATGTTCTTAAAAATTGACAGGCATTACAGCTATCATTACCTTTTCTTTTAAGTAGCCAATTATTCCCACCTATCCTTTGTTGTTCTGGAGAAATCTCTATAACTGGAGGGGAAGCCATTGTTTCTGTTTGTCCAGCATTCTTACCCTGTACTTTTTGTGACAGTCCATTGGCCTTCTGTGGCCTGAGTCCACCCAAGAATGGGCATATGCTTGGTTCTTGCTAATGAGTGCTCTTCAGGGCTTTGCTGGAGCTCTCAAGGGGGGTACAGGGGGCACCTTCTCATCTTTGAATGCAACACTGGTCTGGAGTGACTTAACCACATGTGAGATAACCCTGCCTGAAAATGTACCAAGTACATGTTTTGTCGTATCTTCCATGTTAACCATATTCTCTCTCTGTGAGGGTGCCAGCTGTTTAATGGCCGATAAACAAAACTATTTTACCATTATTCAACTGACCCTCCTAGGGGACACCACTATAAAACTTCAATGCTTTTTTCCCCTGGAAATGATCTACTAAAATTTAATCTCTTAATCTTTGTCAGAAATTAAAAAATAACATGAACATTTTCAAACATTTTTTTTATTTGAAAAAAAGTATACCCTTTAGAATATTTGAAATATTAAATCCTAAATAGAGGACTTTATATACAAAGGAATTTAATTACTCATCTACTATAACAAATGTCAAAAACTCTATCTGCTCTCGTCAAAATATGGAAACATTTTTTTAAACAAATGAACAGTTAGATACCTGAGCTTCTGATTGTATTGCTTGACCTTTTCCAATGAGGCGGCATTGATTTGGGCTTGAAACTCTTCCACTGAAACATTGTCTCGATAGTAATATCCTTCCATGCTCTCCAGTGCTGTGTAAACAAGTAAATGTACTTTTCACATGATTTTACAACTCAGTTTCAATACATTTGGTATAATCGTATTGGTTATCAGTAAATGTATTAAACACATCAAATATGACCACATATGTAAGAAACTATCTTTAACCAGACTGAAAATGAATGTTATTCTTTTGCTCTCAAAATTAATATCAAACATTTCATGATTATCTCTGTTAAGTGGGCAAGGCAATTTCTAATTTAAACTGTCTTCTGTTTTTAGAATATTTTATATGTTCTTTGTGAAGCTAAACTTAAATTCATATATATTATTAATATATAAACACATAAAGGTGTGTATGTGTATATATATGTGTGTGTGTGTGTGTATGTGTATATATATATGTGTGTGTGTGTGTACAAAAGTCGGACAGTTAAGTTTGTGCACTAAACTGTCCGACCTTTCATGTGTATGTGTGTTTGTGTGTGTGTGTGTGTGTGTTTATATATAAATACAAATATACATACATATGTATGAGAAGCAGAAGTTAATATACATATTAACATATATAAAAGCAAAAAAATGAAATTGTCATTCTCTATGTGTGTATTCACATTGTTTTGTATCTGCAATTAAATTATAAAATATTAGTGCAATAAGTAAGAAGTATAAATAAAGTGAAATCTTAGACTACTACCTCTAGCCCAATGGTCAGTTAAGTTAATTTAGTTAAAATAAATAAATATAAATACACACACACACACACACACACACACACAAAGTCCCACCGATTTTAAATGTTTTTTTTGATTAATAAAGATTTCCTTCTTAGCTAACATTTTTGATTAAGTGTTCCTTTTTCCTCTAAACTTTCTGCACTGGTAGTATTTTTAACCTTTTGGAGAGGAAATGAATCACATGAAAGTGCCTAGAAATACGAGAATTCCTATGGAGAATTTTCCAGCAACAGGAATGAAAATGGGTCCGATTTGCAACTAATTTGGTCTAATGTTAATTATTTCCCCTTTTAATTATTACCACTAAAGAGCTTCAGTTTTTCAGCAGACTATTTCAAAACAGATAAAAAAAATTAATCTTCTTTCAAAACTGCTAAATACAATAGTTCTAAACTAAATAGTAAGGTTTCCTCAAATTGACAGAATCTTACCACCATTTTGGGGGTGCAAAAACAGGAAAGTCAGTGCTAATTTTAGCTGTGCTATATTTTCTAAATTAGTCAGATTGCTATAGCATTGAAGAAACAACAAAACTTTCAGAGTATTGCTAAATTTGAAAACTTTAAAAATGGAATTATTGGCTTATAATTGAGAAAAGCGTTTGTGAAAAGTTAGAGACAGAGTTTCCTATATTTACTTCAGTGCAGGAAATCAAATTTATTGCCTTGTTTCAAGGATTGTTTATTTACTTATTCCTTATGACTTCTGCATTCATTAGAATATTTGCACACAGGGTCAGCAAGATTCTGGTCCAGAATACACACAGGAAATAAAAGAAAGTCTTCCTGATAAAACAACTCTCAAATACATGCCACGTTCCATTAACAGGGCGTTTATTTGTGAAAAGCAAATATTCCAGGAGGATTCCATCTATCAATGGTCATACTTTAACGTGGATTCCTCTTACTAGTTGGAAAGCTAATAATGAAAGCCCTAGTATTGGAGTAAAACCACAACTCCCATGGTCCTTCACAGCTGCGTGACCTTGGGCACGTTAATTAGTATCTGAGATCCTCAGGTTCCTGATTTGTGAAGTGAAAAACACACATACCTACTAATTATGGTTCTTAGAAAAGAATTCAGTTAAATAATAGGATTCAGAGAGCCCATAACTACTCTTATCATTTATTGCAAGTGTTTTATGTACTCGGCAACACGCCCAATGTACAGGCATTATTTAATTTCTTGGAGATACAGATTATACATGAGTGTGCTTAGCCAAACAAGAAGTTTTGGGAACTAAGGAGGGTCCATGAGAGGACATAATACTTTGTGACTTAAGAAAGGCTGGAAGGAGAACGGAACCGGGGGGGATTCAAGAAAACACCTAGGATCTAATTTTTATAAGTCTTAATGGCTCAACTTATCCAGCATGTCCAGTCCTGTTTTAAAAGTTTGTTAACAATACAAAAAGAAATTGATATTTTCATTACGTTTCTTGACAATATTTTCAAATTAACAGTGGTTAAAATTCAAAATTATGTAAATTTTTTAAGAGTCTAACAGTTTTGCCAAGAGTCTCAGCAAATTTTTATGGCATCTACATGGAGTTATGGGGAAATAAACAAAAAAAGATGAGTTTTATATTTAGAAAGTAAACTTTGTATGGCAAAAAACAGGAAGGAGAACCACACTCCTTATTTTAGGTCAACAGCTTAGCTGTTGTTTTATTGTTATAAAAGAAGAAAATGGAATGAGGTTTTACCATATTAAATTTCTATTCTCAGAAAAGTAGGTTAAATATATAATAGTGTCCCAACTTCAAAGCTAGACTTCGCTTTAGCATGTTCTTCTCTAGTTTCTGTAATTCTCATAATTTCATAATTTGTGGTCATATTTGGTACTTCCGTGATTTCGTAAGTTCCTGCGGACATCTTGATTTCAGACCTCGAGCCCCCAGAACTCTGATAGAATGAATTCCTGTTGTTTTAAGCCGCCCAGTTTGGGTCTGTGGTGACAGCCATGGGAAGCTAATACAACTTCGGTTCCAGTGTCTCAGGGATAGGCAGTGTGTGCACCCCCTGCCTGAACTCTGGCTCCGCGGGTTCAAAAGTCCTGAGCCTCAAATGGCACACTTTCCCTGGAAGACAAAGCAGGGTCCAACTGAACTGAGCCACTTGAGTGCTTGCGGCTCCTTGTGCCAAGGCGCCAGCAACCAAGAAGAGCCATCGTGACCTTGGCAAAGCGGACTGACCCTGATCCTCATTAGGAAGCAGGGCTAATGTTACGTAATGAGGGCAGGAAGACATGTTTGACACCCAGGTAATCCATGCAGGTCCCTTTGGGTATCCCCTCGGCCACTTTTGATGGTGAATGGACAACTGCACCAAGCCTGGCCTGAGAAGGCACAGTGCCCCGGGGATCAGAACACCGGGGATGAAGGGCTGAGGCATGCTGTGGAACCAGCAGAGGGTCAGGCTGAGAGTAAGACTAATCTACGATGGAAGCAGAAAAGGGGCAATGAGAATCCACTGCGGCCCAAGACCAGTTGTAGTAACAAGGGCTATGAGTTGTGTCATTAACGTATTTTTCTCTAAATCATCCCCCGCAGGAAGGGAGGCCCATCAGTCGTGAAGGAGACTCTCCCAGTCCTAACAGAAATGGATCTGAGAGTGTGAGATGTGGACCATGGCTGAGGCTCTGAGAGTCACCCACTCAGATCCTCTTTCAGAAATAAGGGGCCTGTTGCCCAGCTGCTGTGATTGTCTTCAATGCCCAGCTGTCAGCTCTGTAGAGCATCTTCAGCCTTTGTTCAGGAAAACTGTCCCACCCAAATCACATCCCCTCTAGGGGCAGCCAGCATCCTAATGACCTAACAAGGCAGAAGCGAAAAGGCCCAGCCCCCTCACCCCAGCTCCCCAGAATCTAGAAGTGTTGAACATTTGTGAAGTGGGTTAATCTAATTAAGCAATTATTAACTGCATCATTGCACAGTGTCTCAAAATCCACATAGACCTGTGCTTTCTCACTCCTGGTGGCCGTTAGAATAACCTCGAAACCTTTGAAAATATACTGGAATTTGGGCTCCACCTCCCAGAGATTCTGATGGAATTGACTTAGTGTGAGGCCAATCACGGTTATTTTCTAAAACCTTCCCAAGGTGATTAATGTGCACCCAGTACTGAGAACCTCTGAGAGAGAGCATGAAAAGCAGCCACTGGGAGTAGGTGGAGGAAGTGACCCTGAATATCATCCTCCTTGAATTCCCATTTTCACCCAGTTTAGTTACTTGCTTTATCTCACCCAGGGCTCGGGGATCCCAACAGGATGAATCCCCTGACCTGTAGGAAGTACTTACAGAGGACAGCTTCAGTGTGATCTTCACCTTCTAGCATTTTGGTTATGCTAACTTAGCTGACAGGCTGTTTCTATGATCCTTACCCTGGAAATCTGTATCACTCATTTTGTTGGCCTAGATTCCCCCAGCAATGGCCCTTAGGAGCGCAGGCTCACTAAAGTGTCCCCTACTTGCCTCCAACCCTGGAATTCCCGATCTAATGGGAGGTCCCATCTCTGCAGGGTGCCCAATCAACAGGCGTGCCCTCCTCTGCCCAAGGGTCCATCAGGCAAGAAAACTGGGCAGGAGAGTACACTTGCTTCCTGTACTAACTACACGGTACCACAGAAAACTTTCGGAGGGCTGACTTTAATACATTTCCCAGGAAAATTTCAAAGTCATCTGTTGTTTCTATTTTTTATCTGCTAGCAAAGACCCGTGTACACAGGGGCACACAAAATGAAACCCCTCTAAATACACTTTCATCCCAGCCTCGCCTTCGGTTTCCCACCACTTCCAATTATCAGATGGTAATCTGGACTCAAGCTAGGGCTGTATTTCCTGTGCTTCCTTCAGTCTGATGAATACTGAGTTCCTAATCCTCCTGGGAGTTGTATGAATGTGGAGGGACTTCTGCCGGCCTTTTAAAGAAACAACCTCATCAGTGACAGATTTTTAATGAGACGAACTGTTTTCTAGTCTTCTTCACCTATCTGTGACCTCAACTGCAGAAAAAGTGTTTCCACTGTTGCTTCTTCCATTTATTTTTCATGTTTTAATGCTGTGTGAATACCGATACCTAATGTTTGCTGTAGTTTCTCTTTAAATTACATTTTTTATCGCGATATTGTACTCACAGAAATAATATATGTAGGGATTCTTTTTAAATTCGTTGTAGCCACAATTATAAAATAGACGTTCCTGGCAAAGGAACCTTTTTCCTATACACATTTGCTGGTGCATATGAATATTCAGCTATTTATGGCTGATGTATCACAAATGTAATAATTACTTTAGAAAAGATGCTTAATGCCACCTGTCATCTCAGTAATGATTTCAGAAACAGAATTTTTAATAAGAGAGAAATAAAAGAAATAAAGATGCACTAACAACTGTGAGCTCTGGTTAAACCCTATAAAAGTCAACATTCCAGACCAGCACCCTTCTCTACCTCCTAAAATTACGTCTCTGTAATGGTTTTAACATATTTTAGGCTAAACTGTTGTCCTACCATAACTCCAAAGGTCTATTTTTCCTCGGTTTCTTCTTCTTTTTTATTCCTCTTCATTACTGGATCTTGTATTACCTTTATAGATTCTACTACAGTCCTCCAAAGAAAAATGAAAATACCTTCTAACAACCCTTAAGATCTTCACTGAAATTTTCCTCTGTGTAAATGTATTTTTGCCAAGAATCTGTTTGAGGCAGTCATTGTTTTCAAACAATGGCAACAAAAGGGGAGGTAATCTATGTTTTGGAATTAAAATTCTACACCTGTGGTATAAGCAGAATTTTCACTTGGTAGCGAATTTAGATTTCATATCCCAGTCTGCTCTTCAGTTACAGCGGTTGATTTTATTCCTCTACATTTCTCATTTGTTATTAGAAAATAAAAATTCCACAGCAAAACCAATGCAGATCTTCAAGACTCAAAAGAAGAAAAAATGAAATGCTCTATGGTACCACTCAGAAAAATTGAAATTGATATAATCTTGTGACCACAGTCTGAGTTTAAAAAAAAATCATAAACTAGAGGAAACTAAACAATAAACTGGATTTCTGATCTGTGACCTCCGAAATAAAAAAAAGATCCAGGATGTTCCCTTAGAAGCCAAATCACTGTAGGAATCTTAATCATAATTAATCTTAATTCATTCCACTACAGTTGACAATCATTGCTCAATGCCAAAAATTTTTTATAGTTGCAAAAGTAATACATCTTATTGACAAAAATGACATAATGCAGAAAAACTCAAAGAAAAAAAACATCATGAATCACCCAATGATACAGAAAACATTTTACATACATGTCAGTGTGTATATACATGCATGACATAATTGAGACTATCATATAAATTCGTTTTCATACTCTGCATGTGTCTATTGCCAGTCTTTTTTTATCTCATAGAATATATTTAAACACACAATTTCAGTGGCTCTACCATCATTTATTTAAGCCAAATAAACTTGTCTTTATTTATTTTAAACACTCATGTCGTTCTTCATTATAAATAATGCTGCAATCCTACTTGATAAATATTTAAACCATATGTGATTCTTTCCTTAAGAAACATTCCCAGATGTAGATATATTACCGAGGTACTATGCAGGAATTTTTGAATTAATTAAAAAAATAACATGATGATTACAATTAAATTTCTTTTTGAAAAACTGATTAAGTTAAAATAATCTAAGTACATGAGGCATAAAAAGGGAAGCAGCTTACCTTGTGCAAAAAGAACAGGATGGATTTTGAACCCTCCTCCGTTTTTCAACCGCTGAGGCAATTGTTCAAAATGGTAACTATCAATGTAGAAGTAAACTTTCAGAGCTTGTCGGCTTCCTTCCACTTGATATGTAAGAGGAACATCTAAAATGACATTTGATGTTCTATTACTTCCTAAAATCAGGACATGCTATACAGTATGTTAATCTTTAAAAAGAATCCTGAAAATTACTAGAAACTAAATATCTTAAAAGTATCCATGTATATCAAGTTCAGGTTAGGCATACTTAACAATGTTATTCAGTGAGAGAGTGTACATCAGATTCCCTAAAGCAACAGATTATTACTGTACTGTATATAAAACTCTGGAAGAGGAAACTTCATTACACTTTGACACAGCAGATGTCTCACTTAA